ATCGGAGAAGAAGACAGACATAAAAAAAAAAAAAAAAAAAAAAAAAAAAAAAAGAGAGAGAAAGAAAGAAAGGAAGGTGAAAGAGAAGGAAGGAGAAGACAAGGGTGGCGAGGGTGAAGGTGCCGGCAGCCATAGCCGAGGTGAGGGTTGACCGGAAGTTGACCGGAGGGTTGACCAGGCGTTGACCGGAAGGTTGACCCGGGTGTTGACCGGGGTAATGCAGCGTTGACCAAGCGTTGACCGAAGAGTTGACCGGGGCCGTTGACCAAGGCTTGGACCAAGCTGGAGTTGGTAATGCCTCGCCAAGCCCCTAGCCTACCCCCTCACCCTGTGGATGTGCACTCACCCTACGGTACTTGCTGAGTCTGAGTCTGTCTGTCTTTCCTTTCTGCATCGAGTCTCTTCTGTCCTAAGTGGTAGCACTCTATGGATGAAGGATAGTGCTTGGATGACGAAACCTTAGTCTGACCTTGTAGGGCTGATGCTGTAGCTGATCCAACTTTCCAGGGGGGCCTAACCCTCCCAAGGACCGGTGTTGACCGGCTGGAAACGGTTGGTAGGACTCAGTGGGCCTGAGCGGCAGCTAAGGCTGACACGCCAGGCAGTCTTTAAGTGTTGAGGGCCTGTTTGAACCACTCCCCTACCGGACCTAGTAAGGCTGATGATCTGTGTCTGGCGACTCGACTGTCCCGGGGGATACGAACCCTCCCAAGGACCGGTACAGACCGGCGGGCTGCTCGGTGTGGCACAGTAGGCCGGAAAGGCTGAGTTGTGGGCTGAAAGCACAGGCAGAACCACGCTGATCACGTCGTCCTGACTGCGACGTTAAAAAATTCTTGAGGATTTACGGGGGATCTCCTTAAATGCCTCCAGATCAGTTGTTGGTTCAGTAGTGACAGCCTTAGAGTAGGTCTAAAGTAGTGACCATAGTTGACAGGGTTCCACCCTGTGGTCCCTAGAGAGTCAGTCAGTGTGTCAGTGTCTGGGTAGGTCTAAGTGGTGAGGAGTGGGACTCCTTGTCGTGCACCTGACACCACTATGGATGACTATCCGATGTATGGGTTACTTGTTGGGTTTTCCTTGTGGGGGACCCTCTGGCGTCTCCTCTTCCCCCTGGGATTCTGGCCCACGCTCACGTGTAGAGTAGGCACCCGGGGCGGCACCTCCACTACACCTTACACGAAGGAGGAGGAGGAGAAGATGGCCGCCATCCTGTAGGAGAGAAAGGAGAAGAAGGAAGCCAAGAAGAAGGCCCTGCAGGAGGAGCAGGCAACAAAGTTGAAAAAGATAGGGGAGGAGATGGCCAGAGAAAAAGAGAGGTTGAAGAAGGAAGAAGAGGAGAAGTTGAAGGAGGTGGAAGAGGAAGAAGAAGATGAACCGCCGTTGCAAAGGAGGAGAGGGCAGCACAGTGGCAGCAAAGATGAGGAGATGGAGAAACGGATTTCAGAGTGGGTCGCTAACTTATCCCTGGGCGAAGAGGAAGATGTAACTATGTACATCCCCAAGGATGAGCAGGAAGCCGCTATGAGAAAATGGGAAGCAGAAGCAGATGTCCTGAAGCGGCAGGCGATGGAAGATGAAACGAGGATGGAGTGGAAACTCGCCATGATGAGGGAGAAGAAGAAAAGAGTGGACGTGGCGAGTGAAGCGTTTAAGGATCTGGAGGAGGTGCAAAAACTGACTCTACGATTGACCCCCCAGGTAGACCTCCAACAAAAGGTAGAGATCATTGCCCAGAGTGTTGAACGTTTAGCCAGAGTGCAAGAACGACAATATAAGTTTAGTCGAAGTCAGGATATAGTTGTGCGTTCGATGCGAATGGGATCTCGGGACTTTGCCCGCGAGCTGGTAGGTGTTGTAGGAGCCGAGGTGAATCACCGCCTCGAGAAGACTGAGTGCTTTTGCGTGGGCGCCATCGAGGGCGTCAAGGTGGCAGCTCCCAAGGAGGAAGAAGCGCGTCCTCGTAGGGAGCCGGTCAAAGTCAAATTCCCTGATTCCTACAATGGAAAAAGGGATGAGAACTTTGACAACTGGGAGGCCAACGTCAAGACCTATGTGCATCTGCAACAGGTCTCCCCAGATCAGCACGTGTTGATTGCGATTCATGCGCTTAGAGACGAGGTCGCCAGTTTCGCAAGGTCCCTAGTCCGCGCGGCCAATTGTAACAACGATGCGGTGGCCTATTCATCGTTCACTCCCCTCGTTGACCTCATGAAATTGCTGCGCGAGCGATTCGCTGATGTCGCTCGCAGTGTCAAGGCCTCAGATAAGCTCCAAACCATCCATGCTCGTAAATGGAAGAGTGCCAGGGCACTCAAGGGCACGATGGATGAGTTAGTGGCTGTCCCTGACCATGGAGTCACGGAGGCCCAATTGGTCGGCCTCTTCTATCGGGCTATGCCCGAAGCCTTTCGAGGGCAGTTCTTCGCGAAGAGACCCTGCCACCACTTATGATTCTCTTAGCCGTGAAGTGGTGGCTTTCGAAGCGAAGTCGGTGTCGCTCTCTACCTTCTGGCACAAAGACCTCGACAAAGGAAAGCAATGGAAGGGTCGCACGATCTCAGGGCAAGTTAAGACTAAGGATAGTCTTGTCCTGACTTTAGACGAAGGTAGTGCCGACGAGATCCCCTATGAACAAATTGAATGGGGGGTTAGAGGACGAGGACAGCGGTGCGAGTCCGGGGAGAACTTACGCTGCTGTCGCGACTGGAGGGAGGCTGCAAGGAGGAGGGCGAGGCCAAGGCCAAGGGGGCCGGGCCTCAGGGAGCCGGTTTCAGGGCGATCAGGGGGTTGGCGGCAAAGGAGGAAACCGCCAAGCGGGAGGAAGGGGTCAAGGTCCCCCGCAAAACCGTCCTAGGAATAGGTCTCCCTATAGGGTAAGTGGATGGCACCCAGGGCTACCTCAGGGTAGGCCTTGGGAAAGTTTGGGTCTGGACCAGAGCTTATGGCAACAACGTCTGGACCGGGGCTAGTGCATTTTCTGCGGTGACCCGGGCCATATCATTAAATACTGTCCTAAGTATAGAGAGACCCGGACGACTGCTCAAGGGCCAAAAGGCAGCCGCCGGTAGGGGTGGCAACTGCCCCTACCACAAGGCCATGTGGGGAACATAGCGCTAGCTGGCAGGAGACTCCCACACCACATGTGCCTATGGCAGAGGTTGCAGGCCGGTGTCTAGATAGCTGTCCAGAGACTGCTTGTGTCAGGGTCTCTTTAGACACCTCCCTCACAGGCGTGGCTGAAGAATTGAAGGAGAGGATGCCCACCTGGGCCAAGATGAAGAAAGAACAGAAGGGGCAACTAATATTGGTAGATGTAGAGATTTTTAGAGGTAGAGTAGGGGCCCTAGTAGATTCAGGGGCTACCCACAACTATATTAGTAGAAAAGCGTTGCAGAAGTTGAAGCTGGGACTTAAGGTCAAAAAGCTAGCAGACCCTATAGTTAGTATCCTCGCAGACAACCGTACAATGATTGTAGAGGAGTATGTAGAGGGAGTCCAAGCGTATTTCCGCCTAGAGAAAGATGGGAAAGTGGAGAAGGTCCTCCACTCTCTGACTCTCCTCGTAGAAGACAGCCTCCCATTTGATATTGTCCTGGGAATGGATTGGGGAGAGGCAGCCAGGGCCACACTCCATTTGAAAGAGCACGAGTGTAAGCACCCTAGTCCTTCAGGCGAGGCTAAGACTGCCCGCCTGTTCCATGTGTCAGGAGTAGAGAATCCCCTGGCACATTGCTGCCTTAGTGCACTTGCATTCGCGAGATTCGTGAAGAAGGAGCACCTAGAAGAACAGGTCTTTGTAGCCTATGTTAGGCCAGTGACTGAGCGTAAGGAAGAGAAGCCTATAGACCCTGCTATTGCCAAACTGCTGGAGGAGTTTAAAGATCTAGCTGAGCCGCCGATAGGAGTAGTACCGCGGCCCATCCAACATCGCATTGAGATAGAGCCTGGCAGTAGAACTCCTAAGGGTGCGGTGTACATGATGTCCCCGCGGGAGTTAGAGGAGCTTCGTAAGCAACTAGACAAGCTCCTTGAGAAGGGTTGGATTAGGCCCAATTCATCTCCATTTGGAGCGCCTGTTTTCTTTGTCCCCAAGAAGGAGGGAGAGTTGAGGATGTGTATAGACTATAGGGGCCTGAATACTGTTACAGTGAAGAATGTTGAGCCACTGCCTAGGATAGACAATCTCTTGGATCGAGTGCAGGGGGCGAAGTACTTCTCAAAGATAGATTTAAAGTCCGGATATCATCAGATAGAGGTGCATCATGATGATCAATATAAGACAGCCTTCCGGACTAGATATGGGCACTATGAGTTCATAGTGATGCCCTTTGGACTAACCAATGCGCCAGCGACGTTCTAGCGCTGTATGAACGATTTGTTTAGGCCATGGTTAGATAGATTTGTTGTTGTCTACTTAGATGACATCTTAGTGTTTAGCAAGGCCCTTCAAGAACATCAGGGTCATCTCAGGCAGGTCTTGGAGAAGTTGAGAGAAACAAACTTCAAGATCAATGCAAAGAAGTGCGATTGGGCGAAGACCCAAGTCTTATATCTAGGCCACGTCTTAGACGGAGACGGCGTTAAGCCAGAAGACGGAAAAATCGCAGCGATTAGAGATTGGCCCACGCCGCGTACGCTAACAGAGTTGCGGTCATTCTTGGGCTTAGCTAACTACTATAGGAAGTTCGTGAGGAACTTCTCCACTATCACTGCGCCCCTTCGCAGACTGCTCAGGAAGGAGGCCATCTGGAAGTGGGATAAGGACTGCACGTCTGCCATAAAGAAGTTAAAGCATGCATTGATACAGTACCCAGTCCTTAAGGTAGCCAATCCGTCCTTGCCCTTTGTCGTCACTACGGACGCTAGTCAGTACGGCATAGGTGTTGTGTTGCAGCAAGACGATGGCACTGGTTATAGACCCGTAGAGTTCATGTCCGCTAGGATGCCTTCAGAGAAGGTTGCGACATCTACCTAAGAGAGGGAACTCTACGCTCTCAGGCAAGCATTAGAACACTGGAAGCATTACTTGCTTGGGAGGCACTTCAAAGTCTATACTGACCACGAGACCTTGCGATGGTTAAAGACGCAGGCCAAGATGACACCTAAGCTTACTAGGTGGGCCACAAAAATAGATCAATACGACTTTGAGCTCAAGCCGGTCAAAGGTAAGTATAACGTAGTTGCAGACGCTCTGAGTAGGAGAGCTGATTACTTTGGGGCCATAGTCTATTATCTAGATATAGGGTCAGACCTACAACAAAAAGTTAAAGAGGCGTACGCGCAGGACCCCATCTATAATGAGCTCCTTAAGAGAGTTAAGGAAGCCCCAGAGTCCGAGCCATATTACTGCACTACTGATGGGTTGTTGTTTGAGAAGACTAACGTGGTAGACCGTTTGTGCGTCCCCAACAGTGAAGAGATTCGGAGTCTGATCTTGGGGGAATGTCACGACACCGAAGGACACTTTGGTTGGCAGAAGACTTTAGCCAACCTGATGCACGCGTACACCTGACCAGGAATGAAAAATGACTGCATAGAGTATGTTCGCAGTTGCAAAGTCTGCCAGCGAAATAAGTCCACTACGCGTGCCCCTCTAGGCCTTCTCAGACCTTTACCTATCCCTGATCAGTCGGGAGATAGTGTCCATTGACTTCATGGACACCGGCGTTAAAAGTAGACATGGCAAGAGCCAAGTTATGGTCGTGGTAGACAGATTTTGTAAGTATGCTATTTTTGTTCCCTTGCCGTCATAAGCCAGAACCGAGTTAGTAATTCAGAAGTTCTTTGATCACTGGGTCAGTGAACACGGGGTCCCGCTGTCTATAGTTAGCGATAGAGATACCCGGTTCACAAGTCTAAACTGGCAGGAATTGATGCGAGTCTACGGATCCAAGTTGTTGATGTCATCTGGCCGTCATCCGGAGATGAACGGTCAGACCGAACAGATGAACAAGATCCTGCAGCAAGTCCTGCGCATGTACATTAGACCTGATCAAGTCAATTGGGATGAGATGCTGCCCATAGCCAGCGCATACAACAACAGCCTGCACCTGTCAACCTGCCGCACTCCCAACGAGCTCCATAAGTCCTTTAGACCACGAAGACCATTTGAAGGGCTTAACCGGGATCAGATTCATAGGCTACCGCCCGGTACAAGGGGGTTTGCGATTCAGAAAGAGATAGCAACTGTTGTTGATAATCTCAGGAAGGCCCAGCACCTCATGATTGAACAGGCGAACAAGCACCGTCGCCCTTCACAGTTTCAAGTAGGCGACTTAGTCTGGGTCCAGTCTAAAGAGTTTGCGCCTGAAGTGAATATTTCGCAGAAGTTACTGCCTACGTATAGAGGCCCGTGGCCGGTTCTGGAAGTCAAGGGCGGCGAAGATGGACCGCCCTATACCCTAGAAATCCCAGCACACCTCCACACTTACCCAGTTTTCCATGCATCCAAGTTGTTACCTTGTCAAACAAATGATCAGTTTCCAACCCGTAGGTCTATGATCCCACCAGATATGGATGGAAGGTATGACATCGATGGCATAGTGGCTGAAGATGTATTCAGGACTGGAGGTAGAGGTCATCCACAGAAACAGTTCAAGGTTCATTTTAGTTATCAAGAGCCGGAAGACGACCGCTGGTTTACGAGATCTGAACTTCTAGAGACAGCTCCTGATATAGTCCGGGCCTACGAGAGGCAACAGAAAGGTAAAGGTCCTGCCTTGGACTGAAATTTTCTCGGAGGACCTCGAATTTAGGCCGGTGGGAGTGAAACGGTATTCACCAATTCGTGGTAGCTGAGGCAGATCCCAGGGCTCGATCCCTAGTTCCCCAACTTACCTGTGTCAACCCGTAGATTTGAACCTGTGACCTGTAGGACCGCCAGTGGTCGGTAGGATCTCGTAGGTTACATGGTACAGGGGATTCGAACTGTAGATCTGTCGGGTAGGAGTCTAGACAGTCCAGAGGTTGTAGCTGTAGACTGTCTGAAGGGTCAAAGTCGTAGCTGCTACTTACCTGAAAGGGTAGAGTCGTAGCTGCTACAGTACCGAAAGGCCAAACAGATAGTTCTAGAAGTGGCCTTTCGGAGTCAGCCCCAGTTTGGGTAGAGGCCAGTGGGTAAGTGGTGGAAGTCCACCACGCAGAGTCAGCAGTCCCAGTCCAGCCAGTCCGGTCCAGTCAAGCAAGTACCGTCTGGGACTGTGCACATCGTGGGCCAGGGAAACAGGGCAGACCAACGAGGCACAGAAGTATAAATCAAGAGGCTGCGCACAGCCATTCGTTCATTCCTGCGGAAGCCATGCGGAAGCGCTGCCTCAGCGTCTTGTGCGAGGAGGTCTGCAGTGTGCCCGAAGTCGAAGTGGGCAGAGAAGTGTAGTATAGTGATAGGGTAGTGGCAGCTAGCGCTGCCATAGCTGTAGTGGTGTGTGTGTGTGTTGTGTGCGTGTACAGAGTGTCGTGTATGGGATATCCAGGGTGATCCAGTGTGTGAACAGTGGATGTTGGGCGCTCAGTCGCCATAGCCAGAGGAAGCGAACGTACCTGGAAGCCATATCTCTGTGTACTGTGTGGGCGCATGTCGCCAGTTTGTCGTGCTACTGTTCACGTGCAGGAAAAGTGTCAAAGAGTCGAGTCTGATTGCAGACTATATAAACGCAGCAGAAGACTGAACATACATCTGACACAGCAATATCAGAATGGACAATGCACACTCATACATGCATCACACAGTGAAAGGGGGCAGCACAGCATACAAGGAACAGGCACTGTCCCCTGATCATTCTCGGACGAAGTAGGAGGAAGAGGGAGACGAGGGGGAAGAGAGGGGCGAGAGACCAGGTCCCCAACGGCAATCCCGAATGTCCCCGAAGTCCAAGTCTCAATACAATGTCCAAAAGTAGGTCTTTGCCTGAAATGCCAGAGCAGGGCAGTGGCCCGAGTGTCCCCAAGTTCAGATCTCAGATCTCTCTCTCTCTCTCTCTCTCTCTCTCTCTCTCTCTCTCTCTCTCTCTCTCTCTCTCTCTCTCTCTCTCTCTCTCTCTCATCCAGATGGAAGTGGAAGACTGAGCGGTGGAGGATGGAGGACAATTGGAGGACAGAAGAAGAAGAAGAAGAATCAAGCAAGCAAGGGCAGATAATAACGAACAGGTCAAAAACCAGCTCAGTGGAGGGCTAGCATACAGTGCCAAACCTAACACCATTTTACAAAAAACCACGCATACCCCTCGACGCGTTTCGATCTGCGCGTGTAACAGATCTCTTCAGGAGGGTTCCTCCTCCATCGTTTGATCAGTGAAGGGGGCAAGCCCCTTCACTGGCTTTTATAATTCCTTCCACGCTTTCCTGTTTCCCTCTCTCGTTTCCCTTCCCACTCACTCCACATCTTACAGCCATAATCCCGTATCAAATCGGTCCGCTATTCTGGCGGCTTCCTGTCCCTCCTCGCCATAACATACAGGCGAAGAAATACCGTAGTATACATGAGCTGGGATACAACAACGAAAATCGGCGCCTCCGTGCTTCACAAAAGAAGCTGCGAAAAAAGAGAGAGCAAAAGACCTCCGAGTAGTTCTGATATAGCTACACATCACGGCTGCGATTGAGGCGCTCAGTGTCTGCGCCCAACGGTCGAATCCAGGAGCACAGATCGTGATCCAGGTTCGAAAAGGTTGGTGCCCAAAAAACGTTTTTGTTCCCTCCATTTTTTAGACAGCCCGCAAAAATCTTTTTTGAAGTTCCGCCCAGTCCCGTAGGTGCCCAAACAAATTCCCGGTCCGGAGGCTCAAAAACAGCCTCGGAAAAAACTAAAAATTTCCTGGACTAACTATTCCACTGTGCACCGGATCGAACCTTTGAAACTAGCAAAACAAAAATCCACAGAGGGAATAGTACAAACCCGGGAGCGGGACGAAGACAGAAACAACTGGAACTGGTGCCTGAACACGTGGTCCCACTCACACATCATCATCATCGTACTGACGTCGATCCGTGGTGGGGGTAAACCTGTGAGATCCAAGATCTCCAGGGGCCACCCACCACCTTGGCCAACCTAGCCAAGGAACCGAAGAAGACCTCGGGGGGGTGTCCCCGGAGGCGAGATTCCCTTATGAGACATACGATAGACACACCGGCAGCTTGTTCATCAGTCGATGACCTCCATAATCTCAGCATGAACGCCGTCATGGTCATCCTCTTTACCTTTTTCGCTGAGTAAGATCTGTAATCCTGCATGGAATGATAATGCAGCGTACCTTGCTCAGTCAGCCATGCCTGATTCTTTGTTCTGGGGAACACATGCACTTCCGTCACATCTGGCACCAGAAAAACTTTGCACCCGAGGAAATCCCACGCGTAGCCGCAATCGTCTTTCCTGACCAGCTTCAGCGTGGGCGGGTACGCATCAGCAAACCGATGAAAAACCCGACTTACCCTTTGAGAATCAGTGCCATTATTTCCAGCTGCAACCATAACCGAGACATCATTGGCCAATCGTACTCCGGAGACGAGACAACGCTCACTCCCAAGGCTCATCAAGAACATGTACTCCGCCTTCGTGCACATCAAATCTGCGAGAGCAAGGGAGGAATGGTTGCCCATCGGAATTCCGAACACCTGCTGGTATGCTCGGCCATTACATATAGTGTATACATGCCCGAGCTCGTATCTTAGCATAGCCATCACTGTTAAAAAGGACAAACAAATATACCCTTCCTCTTTGTGAAGAGTCCGCGCCATCTTGCAATTCTTCCCACGAACACTTGTTTTCACTGCAACCAAATTCTTCTTCTCGTGGATCTTCACAAGCCAATCTACTGATGCTATGATCTCTTCATGTGGGAGTTTTACAAACATGTCCTTGATGTCGTAACTACGAGCTACGATCATTCCTCCAACCTTCTTAAGTGATGCAACGCCTCTGCTTAGTGCAGTATTCAGATGATCAGTCGACCTCAGACTGAAATGATAGCTCACTGGTAGGCAGAGCAACATGTACCTAAGAGCTCTCCGCAGCCTGGTGCTGGCCGTTCGTGATGGTTCAGACCACGATGGGGAGATATGCCTCCATCTGGAGTAATCCTTATCTTTAGGTATAATGTACGCCCTTCCTAGCTTCCCGCTCGTTCGCCAAATGGCAACATTCTGCAAACCTGCATCGTCATATGCGCCCTTTGATTCTACCAAAAACTCCGATTCCGATTGTATCAGACTCCTGAATGCAGCGTTCCAACAGAAAGTCAACCGAAACGTGTGCATATACAGGGTCGGACAAATCACCAGGGTAGCACCAGGATTTCTGTCCAACGGGACGAGCACAAGATGCTGCAGGTGCCCAACTTGCTGCGTAACCTCTTGCTCGGTCATCGCACCATTCTGCTTTACCTCCTGTGTTCTGAAACACCGTTCAATATCTTCATTTTTTATCTGCAACATATTGCTCCTGCATGCCCTCGGAATGGCCTGATAAATCTTCTCCATAAGCTGAAACTTCGAGATCGTCCTTCCGCAGGTGATGTTCCTTGAGCTGTGCAGATACCGATCCACTCCTTCGACTTCATCCAACCGGATGCGGACGTGACCTTGGTAACGAGTCAGACGAAAATCAGAGCAGACACACATGTCCTGTCCTTTCTCCAGAATCCACCTATAGGTGTGCATAACCGCGGCCACGGTTTTGTTCCTCAGTCGGACTACCCTCAATCTCTCTACAACGATGGATCGAATAGCTTCATCTCCAACTGATGTGGAAATGACGTGTACCACCAAATCCCTAACCGCACGCAAGTTGATCTGTGTTGAAAACGGGACTCTAATAATCACTCTCTTCCGTCTCTCGATGCCAAACTTGGACTTCAAGATGCGCGCCAGTTTTTGTCGGAGACTACATCGTATCACACTCCTAGAGAAAATCCTCTCTGTCCTGCAAAGAGCAACAAGTTTTTTACTTGTTAAGCTATACAGGTGTCTAATGCAACACAACCTTGTTAGCAGACCTCTTAGGAACCTCTTGTTACGTTGCGTTCCTGTAGGCGTAGCGACCAGCTGCACTATACACAAAACACATCCGGATTCAAGCACCTTCCTGACAATCCTCAATTTTGTCCTGGTAAGATTACAGACAACCACCGTTTCGTCGTACTTCTCTCGAATCCTTTTCCAAGAGTCAATCCACACGTTGCCTTCACATGTAGATATGTTGATATCGTTCCGAGTACCCTCGAAACTATCTAGCAGGCCCATCAAAGACGAATACTTTATCCATCGTGCTGAAAAACAATAATACCGCCCGTGTAATGTGCATCTCCGTTCACCTCCTCCTTCGGTTTTGACGTTTTCGGACCTGACCCTTCATTCGTCCTATTACATTCAGGGACGGTGAGAATCTATGGATCAATGCCCTCTCAACGACCAAACCGCCACATACATCAGTAACCAGCGGTATAACTACATAGCTATGCCATCCGAAGGAGCTAAGCCACGTATGGAGCTTTGGCGCATTGCCGTCATTCCCTGATTTTGCGCACCGTACATGCTCCGCCCACCTAGTGATAATCCTCCGCACGGTGCAACCGGTATACATCCATCGGCAACATGGACTTACTAAAACGTAAACACCAGATAGGTTCACATCAAATCTGGCACGGATCGATAAACCTCACTATCTTCTTGAACCAAACACGTGCCCTCTTACTACCAACAACAAAAATAACAAGGAAAGCTCATTCTCCTCATTCCTAACAAGTAGTGGGTGTGTACCGTTCACCTCTCTCACCTTTCTTCTATTAGTTAGTTCCCCGATTCGTACGAACGCCACACGTGATGGTAGGTGCTCACATGGCTTCATGCTGTATCCAGATCCTCAGAAGCCCGCTTCGTAGTTGGTGTGACCTGTACCTTCCGTTCAAAGAAGCCTTCATATGCGAGTCGAGTGCGACATCGTACAAGTTCCTGCACCGCTTGGTCCTCTACAATGTACTCAACGCCCTCACGATCACATAATTTCCTGATTTCTGGTGCCTTGAGACTGCTAAGCTGCTTGGCTTGCGTCAGAGTGTAATCAACCAAACCTTCGCTCGATCCTTCGGCCGGGCAGGTCTTCATCGGAGTTTTGAAGCACTCAGCCACCTCTGCTTCCGCTGCCTTCTCTTTCTCTTTCCCTTTCCTGATAACAGGAGTCTTCTTCTTCTCCACCTGGCTGGTCGCGGCACGAAAAACTGTTGTGGTCCTCTTCCCTCTCTTACGATTCTCGAGGGCTTCAATAAGCTTGTTCGCTTCCAACTTCACCTCCTCACTGTCGTCATCGGATTCCGCAATATAACTTTGAATCTCACGAAGCATACGGGCCTTTGAAGTGGGTGATCGTTTCTTGTTCTCAGCGGCAGGTTGTGTCGATGCTGTAATCATCCTCAGCTCCTTCCGTTGTGATAGAATCCTCACTATAGTAGCTTCTAGCTTAGCTTCCCGCGCTTGTTCTTCCCGAAGCTTCTCACTCTCCCTCCTCTCAACTTTTTTTCTCTTCTTTACTTCTTCAGCATGTCGCCTAGTTCTCTCCTCTACTTCCTCCTCTTTGCGGACAATCTTTCGAAAGAGCTCTTTCATCTCACTATTATTGTCCTCCACCTTAGGCTTACTAGTTGCCTGCCAACAGTTCCGGGCGTAATGCCCGTTTTTTCCAAAAATGAAACAGGTGACTGTTTCATATGGTGACGTAGGAGTACTATTACTGGACATCATATTCTGGCTGCCCATGCCCATTGTGACGAACCACTTTCTGTTCCGCGCGATTTTCTGCGTGATGACAATGAGGGGTCCTAAGATGGGAAGGTTGGGCCAATTACGGGAGATCGGGATCGGAGGGAAAATTGCATCGGTGTCCTCGTTTCTTCGTCTTTTCGCGTCTCTTCTTTTTGGATGGCGGGGTCCAGGGCCGGGCAAGTCCCGAGATGGCCGATTGAGTGGCTGTCGCGTCGACAAAGGCGCGATTAATAATGTTTGACGTCGCTTCTCTCTTGTTCTGTTGTCGGGATTTAGGCGCGGAAATCGCGCGGGAAGTTTTGCTTCATTTTGAATTTCTTTTTCGAATCTTGTCGAGCCCTCGACGACTCTCGGAACTTCGGACTTTCTTTTCGGAATTCGTGCTTTTTGCATTTTCGCATTAGATAGGAATTTAGGAATTTAGGATTTCCTTTTGCCGCGCAACGCCTTCTGCTTGCGCGCTTCTTTTCGCGACTGCAACGGAGCTCTGATTAGTCAGCGCCCTTAATCTTGCAACTGTAATTTTGGGCGGGCGCCATTGTAACTGTATCTTTCTTCTTGAGCTTCGTCTTTCCCGCTCTCTCTTTCCCTTTTGCTGTGCCTAGTTAGCCCGCGGCCTGCATGCTCGGATCGATGCGTGGAGAGTGGCTACGTCCCCCACACCGCGATCTGGCCATGTGGAACGTAGGCGCTCCCTCCCCTGAACTCCTTCCTAAGTCCTTGCAATTCCGTGTTCTTCGCGCATGCATGCACACTATAAATTCCGGCTACGCGATTAGATCGCTCTCTTAACCAGTTGTTGGAAGCTCGGGGTAGCGCGATCAGTGGGGGTCGGCTCACGAGTGAAGTAAGAAGTGAGTTGAAGTGGGAGTCGGGCGACCCGACGAGCTGGTGCCAAATGCGCGGGGTTGACGAGTGGGGCTACGACGGACTGTAGCGCGCGGGTGAACCTGACGGGTGCAGGAGGACTAAGCGGGGTGACGACTTCGTGGGTTGGTGCGTGACGACGGACTGTCCGCATCGGAGAGAGAGAAAGAGAGGAAGAGAGAGCTGAGGTTGATGGACGTGGATTTGCAATTTTCTTTGGCTCTTTTCCTTTTGCTTTGTATATAAGTTTTGACTTCGGCTCGAGCGATTCGCTCCCATTTCCCTTTGACATCTTTTTTTCAATATTGGTCCCTGTATGCTATCCCATTATGTCTCGGTCCTCCCTCTTTTGCGTGTATGGGATGAACTAGCTCGGATGGAATGATATGCTTGTCGTTTTTGCCTAATCATCATCATTGCTTGTCACTTTGATCCGTTGTTAGTATGGTAGGAGTTCTGATGTTGTTGCGATGTTTGATGTGTAATGACACCTTGCATGCTCGGAAATGATTGCTTGTGGGATCACCGAGTGATTAGATGATTGGGTAGTCGTCCATGACACGTGGCGATTTTGCATGAAGAACTAAACGCTCATTTTTCCCCAGTACAAGTGAACACCCCGCGGGGATACGTGTAAGCGCGATCTGATTTGCGCAGCCTACACGTATCCACGCGCGGCAATTAGCGATCATTAACGGACCTGGCACCTCCGGTAGGCGGGGAAATTTTCCTTCTTTCACGCACCTAAGCTGGTAGGAATTTCCGATGCCATATCGGGAAATCCCCTTGTCAGTTAGATGCGTGCGAAAGGCGTCCACTGCGTCGTAATGACAAGATGACGTACACAGGGGACTCAGGGTATTTCGAACCTTGGGTAAGAGAATATCTTAGGCAGAGACGCCCAGAATTTCCCTGCCTAACCGAGAACCGATTGTGCCCCAGGGAGCTTCGTTGTGCCGTAACCAGCGATCCAAGGTGCCTCGATTACCCAACTACGTATAACACGCAATACTTCATATCTCCCGACTTTGTCGTTGTCACTACCAATTTCCCTCCCTTCCGTCTCCTCCTCCCGTATCACCAACTCACGGTGGTACCGTGGAATTCCATCGCCCCGTATTGGCCCCGCACGCCGTGCAGAAACTGCAGATGACGCAGCCATCACCGAACCCCTGGAACTACGGAGCCTAACCATAACGCGTGGCGACAGACGCCACGCGTCTACACCCGAAGGACCGACTCATAGGAATCGCAACCCTCCCGAACGGGCCTGTCACGAACCACCGTTACCAAAACAGACGGATCGGACGGCCCTTGATGCACCGCGTATGCCATCGGCCTTATGCTGCATGACATCGACCGCCATCAGACCGAAAGTAACCCGTCCCTTGGCCCCATTGCATCTATGCCCCTAGACCCTTGCCACAAGAGATCCCAGTTCCGATCTGGGAGTCCACCCCCACTTTCCCCAAAAATCCTTGGCACACCCCTTTTCGCACTTCCAGACCCACATACCACTCCGATCAGGAAGTCGCGTCGGGCGTGAGGTTGGTATCGGAGCCCGACACGTGGCAGGGTTATAGGATTCGTGGGACGGTAACCAAGATCGAAGCGATCTGACTAACAGGGGACGACCTTGACCCCGGAAGGCGCATCGACGCGACCCCGTCGTTACCAGAAGCCGGTCTGCGGCTCGACGGGCGGTTAACATGAATGCCAATCAACAAAACCCGAACCCGCAACAGAATCCTAATCAACAACTAAATCCCAATCAACCCGTACCACGAGCACGGACTCCCATGACGCCACCCGATCTCTATCTATTCTACCCCGCTCATCATCTCGCTGGAGCATGGCTGGCCACGCTCCGAGCTCAGCAGTACGATGGTAACGAGGCACAGGTGAACATTCCCGCTCGATTGGGGGGGGACGCTCATCGTTGGTTCAGCACCTATGTTTGGGTAGACCTCCCAACGTTCGAGCGAAATTTCCTGAACCAATTTGATTATATCCACCCCGAACAAGCCCTTTTCATGATTAAGGATCGAGTTTGAACCAATTTGATTATATCCACCCCGAACAAGCCCTTTTCATGATTAAGGATCGAGTTCGAAAACCCCTCGAATCTGTCACTGAGTACCGGAACCGATTCTATCGAATGTTCGTAAAAACTGAATGAGGCGAACAAGTAGGAAGAGATTTGTTCATCGACGGACTTCGCAGCCGAACGATGAGAGCGAAACTGCGAAAACAGTTCTCCCCCATCAATCACACGCTGCAACAGATCATGGCAGCCGCAAAAGAAATGGAACGAAAGTTCGCTGCGAGTTTCCTAGAAGGAGAAGATTATCCTAGGGAGGGAGACTCGTCGGAATTAGCAAGAGCTAAAGCTGAGCTGGCCGCGTTACAAAATAAGCTCGAAAACATGGGGTTTGTGTCTGGCCCAATCACCTACCCCAAACGGCCAACCCCGAGTGTGATTACGAGCATGCCCGTGCCCGTCATGACAGCACCCCCACCACCGATCGAAACCCCCGCACGACCAAATGAATCTTCCGCCCTATTGGAACTAACCAAAACATTGGTCAATCTGATTCAGGAAAGCAAAAAGGAATAGCGGGAACACAATGCTTGAATAGAAGTGATGATGAGGTCGATGCGACCAATAGCGGTGCGTGCCGCCCCGATTCAACACGGGCTGGCTCCAGCACCCCCTCCCGCAGGGCTCCCTGCCAATCTGAACGTCTGTTACACGTGTCATCAACCAGGGCACATAGCTCGAGATTGCCCTCATCAGCCTCCGCAGCCACGAGTCGGGGCCCTGTGTATCTTTTTAACGCAGAACGGGGGAATTAAACTCCCGTTGAATCCCGTTAAACTCCAAAAAATCCCGTTGAATTCGCGTTAAACGCGAAAATGGGCCGCTCCCGCGCTTTTCGGAAAAACGGAATTGATGCGCGGGGTCCGAAACACGTGGCCCTAGGCAAAAA